ACAAATTTAAAGGAATTTATAAAAATAAAATAAAAAAAGAGTTCTTGCATTTACTACCAATGCCCATATTTGGCAATAAATGGGGCATTACTCCACCAAAAATGCACGTAAACGTCCGAAACGTTTAAAAAACAGGCGAAAGGAAGCTTTAGACCAAAACGAATGCAAGTGACAAATACTTTATGTCCACTTTAGTTTTCATAACGGTCATTCGGTATCAAAAAAAAAATCCTTTTGACTCATATCAAATGTTTAAAAGATAAAAGCTCAAAAACTTTAAATATTCTAAGAGTACTATCATATACAGATTAGGGAGCTAGCCGTGATGTGCTGCTAGGTCTATATCGCTCACTTATTCGTTCGAAGCTTGACTATGGTTCCATTATATATGGGTCAGCCCACAAGTCATATTTACAGATGCTTAACCTAGTTCATCATTAGGGGCTTCGTCTCGTTTCAGGTACTTTTCGCACATCACCAGCCGCACGCCTCTGCGTTGAAGCAAATGAACCATAACTTAGTGATGTCAACAGTTTGCTTACCAGTTAAAATCAAACCCAGCTTTCCAATCAGTTTTTTTTATTCAAAGTATACACAGCTCTTTGAACGAAATGAGAAATTGATCCCGTCTTGTGGAATACGACTTCAAAAACCATTGGAAAATTCGGATTTAGACCTATCATCAATCGAAACTGCTATAATACCAGATATTTCACCTTGGACAATACGGCTGCCTGAAGTAGTTTGAGAATTACACAATTATGAAAAATTTCGCACTCTCCCGGTCCAATACATGAGCGCTTTTTCCGAGTTTATCTCGAGATTTTCGTGTTTTTGACCCTGCAGGTAGGGCGTAAGAATTGTACCTGCTGCCCCCAATTGCATGATCGTAAGAGGCGACTAAATTTGGGACCTTATCTCTTCTCTCCTTTCTAAATAACTTTCTTCTTCCTAATGTCTCCCTTGACAATGCCTCACTTTTGGCCATTTGTTGAGCGTTCGCCCCTGTGAGGAAGGCTTTGGGTTCTGTCCCCTGGCCGAGACATACCAAAGTCTTTAAAAATGGTAGTTTCTACACCTGCTTAACGCTCAGCAAATTAGGAGTGGGACGACTGGTTCGCCCGTTGTCAGTATAATGTGACCGGGTGGGGCGTCCTGCTGGGTGTCTTCGGCAGTATGTTTCAGTGAGGTAGCACTATAAAGTCGGCATCAGTTCCGCGCTATCACAGGGAGACAAACACGAACATATCGCAGCCTCCCAAAATACACACACATACACTACATGCATGCATCTTGCACACAGGGGAGGCCGTCCTTAAATGACCTTATCTGTTAATAGGACGTCAAACAATCAAATCAATCAAACACAAACTTTTATATACGGACGGCTCTAAATTCGAAGTAAAAGGTTGTAGCCGCATGTATCTTTTTCCTGCTGATTACCAAATAGTGCATCTATTTTTACAGCTGAAGCTACTACCGTTGGTCTGGCTTTAGATGAAATTGAAAATAATAAAATTAACAAAGCAATAATTTGTTCCGACTCTTTGTAACTACTACAAAGTATTAAAAATCGGAATTTGAACAACTTTCTCATACAAAGCAAGAAGATAGATACAGCTGCTAAATCATCCCTTAACCTACAACCAAAAGATATTAAACTGCCATGTTCTGATTTTAAACCTTGTATAACAAATTTTATTAAAAGAAATTGGCAAAATTAATGGTCTGAAGAATTAAACAGCAAGTTATTTGCAATTCAATCTAATGTGGGTTTATGTGCAACAAGTAGAGCAGACCGCAGAGAGAAAATTGTCCTCCCGCGACTGCTCATAGGCCATACCTACATCACACATGGGTACATTTTGCGTAAGAAAGCCCAGCCTTATTATCATGCATGCGATCAACCATTTACAGTCAAACACTTTATGATTCAATGCGCTGATTTCAAACAAATACGCGACAGATTTTATGATGTACTGTCTGTGAAAGGATAATTCGGTACAATTTATGTGCAATTGATATATGACTATTTACACTCTATTGATCTTTACAATAAAATATGATATATTGTGCAGCCAATTTGTTCGATGTTGATGTATTTCTTTTACATATTTTAAGCTATTAAGATTTGGTTTGATGTGTTCATTTTCGTGAATGTCTCTTTTTACAGTGTTGTGGTCCTAAACGACTAACGTTGTCGATGGGCCGTTAAACAATACAACAACAAAACAAAGTATCTAATATCAATCAGCTCTCTTTGTCCGGTACAGGCCAGGGAAAACTCCGGTCACTCATCAAAATGTTATTTACCTGTTCTGTTACCTGGGAGCAAAACACATTATTGATTGTCTTACGCTTACTGTTCTACTGTGTAACACGCATTGTTAGATTATTTTTATCTACAGTGTTCCTTATTCCATACGATCCTACCGGATATTTTCATTCTGCCAATTGATAAACCAATTGTACCAAATCTCACTTTTATGCGGAGAGAATCCCACAACGGGGTGGACGATTGTTTAGTTCATTTTGTTTGTTCAGTGTCTTGTTCTTAAGTGATAATAAAGGAATTAAACTTGATACGCTACACCTATATATAAATTTGTAGCTCTAATTAGTTTTTAATTCTTACCCACCCTTGGTTCGACGACGCGTCCATTAACCCAAGATGACTTGCCTTGGATTTGGCGTGGATAAGTAAGAACAAATAGCAAACACCTAAGCAACAATTCTGCTGTAGTTTGATTTTACATACGAATCTCCGCCTACATCTGTATTTAATAACCCCATCATACATATTCAAATAAAACATCGACTGATTCAGTTCAAACCATACTCGCCAAGTCTATGATGAAGCAGTAACGCCAACAGAGAAAATATAATCGCATATCTTATTCTAAGGTAAGTCAAGATTCTTGTTTCATTCCACATTCATGCAAGATGTTGTTATATCAATACAATAATAACAACATTTTTAGGACCGTTCGATTTGTTTGACCATCATTTGACATGATAGAACGGGTTTAGTGAAAAGTTTGATATAGACGAAATTTTAGAATATGTATCTTTTCCTTTCTCAATCAGATCTTCTTCGCTTTCTTTTCAGTGACGTCTCACAAAATGACCATTTTCATATAAGTTTAGCTGTTTCAACGATAAGTAAACCTATGTAAGCAAAACAAAGTTTGGAAATTATTTAATTTTTCGCTCGTATAAAATAAAACAATAAATATGGTTATTCAATTCAAAATTTCTATTAGATTTTCGTTTAGTTACATGAGAGGCTAATTTCGTCCTTTCAAGATCTCGAGACGTTTCTTGCATCCGAAACAGTGATAGTTATCAAATAACTGTGGAAAGTTTTAATAACAGGGGCTTATTTGGTATGAATTATGTCTAATCCAAGTCAATTGAATAAGAACCTACACTGGTTTAGCATTATGTTTACATTTTTTGGGGTTTTATCTTCGCTACAGCTAAGGCCATATGGACCGTTTTCTTGTCTTCATGCTCGTTTGCTGTCATTTCCTTTAACATGTTGATTTACTTATGTTTGGGCCGAATGACCCCCTGTGTTGATTGTTCGTTAAGAATGTAACTAGAAAATTTCTGTAAGACATCAATACCCCCGCTCATGGATGGGACGGGACGGGACGGACATGGGCAACAATATATGCCCTTCCTCCATTTTATGGAGGGGGGCATACAAATAATAATATCCTTCCTCATTGCAAAGGGGATATGCATTATACATTAACAGACCTCCTTTACAAACTACGGCATGTTGGTGTGTATTGATGCCAATTTTAGAGTGCCACCTTACCGAAATACAAAGCTAAAGGCATCAAGTACAGGGTATTCCGACACCGAGTTAACCAGTAATTGCGGTTCAAAGTTTTAGTTTTCGATAAAACATGCAGTGGTCATCATCGACAACTGTCTGCCCGTGCAGGGTAACCGCTTAATGGGTCGTTATTGTGTATTGAGTATCTTTAAAGATAGTCTAGTGTCGTTACTTTGTATTGAGTACCTTTAAAGATAGCCTAGCGTCGTTACCTGTATTGAATATCTTAAAGATAATCTAGCGGCGTTACCTGTATGGAATATCCTTAAAGATAGCCTAGCGTCGTTACATGTATTGAATATCCTTAAAGATAGCCTAGCGTCGTTACCTGTATTGAGTATCATTAAAGAAAACCTAGCGTCGTTACTGTGCACTGTGTATTGAGTATCATTAAAGATAGCCAAGCGTCGTTACTGTGTATTGAGTATCATTAAAGATAGCCTAGCGTCGTTACCTGTATTGAGTATCATTAAAGAAAGCCTAGCGTCGTTACCTGTATTGAATATCCTTAAAGATAATCTAGCGGCGTTACCTGTATTGAATATCTTAAAGATAATCTAGCGTCGTTACATGTATTGAATATCCTTAAAGATAGCCTAGCGTCGTTACATGTATTGAATATCCTTAAAGATAGCCTATCGTCGTTACATGTATTGACTATCCTTAAAGATAGCCAAGCGTCGTTACCTGTATTGAATATCCTTAAAGATAGCCTAGCGTCGTTACTGTGTATTGAGTATTCTTAAAGATAATCAAGCGTCGTTACTGTGTATTGAGTATTCTTAAGAATAGCCTAGCGTCGTTACCTGTATTGAATATCCTTAAAGGAAGCCTTACTATGCATATTATTTAATTATGCCTAAAGCTTTAAGATTAAAGTTTGTCTTCTCTCGTATTTGTAACATTACATTATTTATTTATTCTCATAACTAGGACGCACAAGGACTACTTCACTACATCAACTGATCGAAAAACTCCACCAAGGAATGGCCGTTTTGGATCCTTCTGATTATGTGATACTCCTGATTGTACTTATTGCCTCGCTTGGTGTTGGCCTGTTCAAATCTCGAAGGATGGGACGCCGCAAGTCCACAGCACAGTTCATACATGGCGACGGACATATGTCTGTTCTTCCAGTCGCAATGTCCATGATCGTTTCGTTTGAGTCAGGCATCATGATGCTTGGAGTGCCAGCGGAAGTGTATATGTATGGCATGCAGTGGTATATGTTTATAATCGGGAAAAGTATTGCTGACGTATTGAATTGTTACTTACTGATACCGTCATTGAAAAGTCTCAACGTGAACAGCTTATACGAGGTAAGATGAATATGTGTCTATTTGTACATTTATGTCATTTTAAGAGGCTATTTTATGAACAAAACACTCTTTGAATCGGGCAGGTACCGATTATACATACATTTAATAGCATAACGAAAGTTAACACAATCGATGGAGAGATGGCAGATGTCCACTTTCACCAGTTTTATCACTTTAGGAATATCTATATTTTTACGGCCCATCGACAATATCAGCCAGTTTTGAACAAGCAAAACATAATTAAGACGCTCACAAAAAGAAACACATAAAACTTGAACTAAATTTGTTTAAAGATATTGATGCCAAAATTCATCAATGGCGAATTGGTTGTTAAAATTTTAAATCATATTGTTAAGATCAACTGAATGTAAATTATCATATATTAATAACACAGAAACATCAAACATATGAAGCCGGAACCCAATATAGCTTCAAACCAAAAAAAGCCCAACGAATCGCCCCCTCTGTATCAACCATTTGGAGCCGAAACCTAATATAGCTTCAAACCAAACATATCGCTCCCACCAGCGAGACAGAGGATCCGTGGTGATATCAAACACGTGATGAAGACACTCTGTTTGCTTGCACATTTCTTTCTCAGTACTTTTAATCTAGAAAACATAAAGCAATGTTTTGAAACATAAAGGGAAACCCAATCCATACTCAATGTTATCAGTACCTTTTGTCGCTAATTAATGCTACGGCAGAGTTGAGGTAAGACCTATTAAGAACACTAACGTTAAATATGTTGAATCTTGTGGTTTTTAAGATGGGTTTGCGTAAAACATTTTACAAGTTCAAGTATCGTTATTACTACTCCAAGTATCGTTATTACTGCCCCAAGTATCGTTATTACTGCTCCAAGTATCGTTATTACTGCTCCAAGTATCGTTATTCCTGCCCCAAGTATCGTTATTACTGCCCCAAGTATCGTTATTACTGCCCCAAGGTCGTCATTGACCTTAGCTGTTGCTCATTGGACGTTAAACAAAATAAAACCAAACCAATCGAGGTCACTGATTATGAAAATAGTGAAAATACCAAGTTATCAGGCCACAGGTCAAGCAGGGGCAGGGTATATTGTTAACCTTCTAGCTTGGTCTCCACACCAGTTGTGTTCTAGTTGACTAAACGTACACAAACAAGCAATAAAATAAAACAAAATTGATTTATTTGTTAGTATATTGCTTAACAGCCAAGCAACAATAAAGTCATATTCGGTCAAATGACAATACCAAGAGACAATGCAAAAACCTAATACACCAAAACAAACACAATGAGACAATATTGGAATCAGCATACACAAGTGCGTAGCGAAATTGTTAAATATTACTGCGACTAGAATTTAACATTTCAAGTAACAGGTTATCGTCAAATTACATTTTCAAAACAACTTTGAAATACACTGTACTTATTATTCAGAACAAAGTTTGAATATAGGGCACATACTAATTTTTGCCTTGAATTGGTCTAATATAGGCAGCTTTTGTCGTTGTGTGAGGCGTAGTCATATGTTCGTTACATGTGTAGGAGGAGTGACCTCAGTCATCGTATAAGTCAGCCCAGGTTCTAGTCTAGGGTTCCATGTGGTTCCTAGCGTACAAATGAACAAGTCCCTAATAACATTTAATAAACTTTATTACAGAAGATAGAAGTAAACAAACATGTACACAAGAACACGACGAGGGCCCCTACCTACGGCCACCGCTGGGACACATCATTAACATAGCGGGTCAGCTACTTGGCTTCGCCCGGGACATACACAAACACAAGTAACGTTGTACATTCACACCCACCTTATAAAAACAGACCCATTAGGAGAAGGACAGACAAGATAGATTCAGCTCTCAGAGCTACTACCTAACTGAAGATTTGCACGTGTATTGCCGTGTTTATACTAACCGGCAGCCAATGACAGCCAAGTTAACACGTTGGAGTCGTGAGCCAATCAGCTAAGGTCTAGCTTCTGGACAGTGACGGAAATAGGAAAGTAAATAAACAACATGGACGACACGAGTGACAGTCACAAATCCCAGCGACAGTAATACATAAATAACAGGCACAAGGAATTTAATACAGCTTTCAATTCATTCACGCCCTCACACAATCACCGATCCACATGCAAACCCTGATATTAACTTGCATGCACACATACATACCAGCATAGGCCTATACACACCCGAACAATCCGTACTGCTACACATGAATGGCAAAACGATCCGATCTATCGCCGTATATTAAGAAACACCCCAAAACATATTTTATTTACAAGGATGGCAAATAATCAAAGGGATTGGGAAACTTTAATTAAGGGGTCAATGTATTCAACCATTAATGATTACTTTGAATTACCATAAATAAGTTTATATAGATCAGCAGCTCCAGTATATTAATATAGGATGGAAATATAGTTAGTCCTTGAATCAAATCATTTACATTTTAGCAAAAGATAATTAATTATGGACTAGCCAGATGGTACAGTGTGTAGACCGCACAGTCCATGGTTACACTTAGGCCCACTACAACTGGTCACTGGCTGGCAGATTAACCGTTTTTAAACCTGAAATTAATTGCATAATAATTTAAAGAGAAACACTAGATAGTTTTACAGATACTTGTAAATGATTTTTTGTCACTTTCCTTTCCACTTCTCTTACATATTGCATTCACATTAGCTAGCTCCCATACATCTGGTATTAACCCAGTTCAAAGACTTTTATTAAAAAGTGATCTCGGTGGAAATAAAAAGACGCGGTTTTAACTACCTTGTGTATAGCACAGTCTGGACAGTAAATTCATCAATACAAGACATCTGACCACTAACATCCGGATGGATTGCTATAATATTTGAAAGGAAAAGGGAGGATCTTCCACTTTCCCATCAGGAAGTTCTATACCAGGTGTAGTAGAGGAAATAGAAGTAAATCATGTGGATGGAATAACAAAATGGATATTATAATATCCAGGGAAGAATATATAGCTTGTACTAAAGTGCTTTCTAATTTTTGCCAGTAGTCTAAGTAAGAGTCGGGTTGTCTATACCAACAGCCTAGCAGACATTTGTGATTATCATTTGTAGTAAGTTCTAGCCACAATAGTTTTTTTTATACGTGTATCATCTATTGCCTGATCTTTTATTTTGTAGAAAAAATAGTGTCTTTACAGTAAAAAACTATACCTCCCCCATACCATTTAATCCAAGTTTCTAAAGGTTTCCCAGGATGATATTTTATTTCAATATCACAATCAGGTATGCATTCACTTAAATGTGATTATGTAATGCAAATAATGGCATTTGAATTGAGTTCTGTTTCCATAAGGTCAGTTCTAGTGCTTACTGCTCTGACGTTTAAATGAACAATATCAATATTTGATAAGGATCAGGATTTTAATTAAATATCCATGAAAGACATTTCATAAAATATCATTCACATCCCTCTACTTAAATCAATACATATTAATTGCATCTGGTATGAATCGCTACACAAATTTGATTCAGAATATCAAGTTTATCAATAAGATAAGATGTCTGGAAATCCTAAACATTATCATACAGAAACACTGTCGTGCATGTAGAGACACATGGATCCTTCACACAAACACATTTTGTATGAGTGTTGCGATAAAATCACTAGATAACAATATCAGTTAAATTCTGTTTAGACCTTAGGCAACAGATGTTACGATGTTAGTCCACCAGTGAGAATCAATAGATTCGTAGGTACAATGTCATAGTGATTGCTTGGTTGTGCGTGGTTTAACGTCCTATCAACGGCTAAGGTTATTTAAAGGCATGCTTTCACGTGTGTTGTTCATGCGTGCATGTGTACAAGGGACAGGGTATGTTGGTGTATTTGACATAGAATTAAACGTAAACTACATTATACACATAATTAGCATCCAATGAGCTATTTCATCCCTGCAGGTCGGGGATCGAGAAAAAGCATACACCTGCTTCTACAGTGTATCGTAAGAGGCGACTAAGGTGGGAACCCCTGCAGAATTAGGAATTTGCTTTTGTGCCCTTCATTTCGGAAGTAATATTTGGCCATTTTAATATTTGGGATCGTTAGCTGTTTTTCTATTTCTAACTCCCTTTTAATTCTTAGCGAATAGTTTGGCAATACCCTACGTTTGGCTTTAATGTTGAACGTTCGCCCAGTGAGGAAGCATTTAATGTTGAACGTTCGCCCAGTGAGGAAACATTTACTGTTGAACGTTCGCCCAGTGAGGAAACTTTTACTGTTGAACGTTCGCCCAGTGAGGAAACTTTTACTGTTGAACGTTCGCCCAGTGAGGAAACATTTGCTGTTGAACGTTCGCCCAGTGAGGAAGCATTTAATGTTGAACGTTCGCCCAGTGAGAACACATTTACTGTTGAACGTTCGCCCAGTGAGGAAACTTTTACTGTTGAACGTTCGCCCAGTGAGGAAACTTTTACTGTTGAACGTTCGCCCAGTGAGGAAGCATTTAATGTTGAACGTTCGCCCAGTGAGGAAGCATTTAATGTTGAACGTTCGCCCAGTGAGAAAACATTTACTGTTGAACGTTCGCCCAGTGAGGAAACATTTACTGTTGAACGTTCGCCCAGTGAGGAAGCATTTAATGTTGAACGTTCGCCCAGTGAGGAAGCAATGTGTTTTGTCCCCAGGCCGTAAATGAGCTTTGCTGTTATTCGGACGATAAACCGTAGACAATGAATCAATTACATTTTGAATAAGTTCTACGAGTCCATTGTTGTCTGTTATTACCATATATAATGCATTGTCAATTGCGCCAAAAGTTGACTTATTGTGAAGATTATATTTCACTTTGTATATTTCAGTACCTAGAGCTGCGATTTCACTCTAGAGTGGTCAGGCTTTTTGGAACTATTTTGACGCTGTTTTTCTACGTAAGTAGACTTTCTACTTTCTAGACGTCAACCAACTCATTACATGATGTTTAATAAATAATGAATAATAATTTCAGCAAAAATATTAAGCTATCAGCATCTTATTCCTGCTGCTACATAGAGTAAATCCTATATTTAATGTCCATGCCTTGTGACATTACCAGTTGCAAAACCATTTAACAAGGTAAAAAGAAATATATTGCCAACAACCAACATTTAAAATTCTGTTAATAACGGATCTATATACCTATAATTCCGCCTTTAATATCACACAAATGAAAGTGATACATTTTCCTAGTCATATTGATTAAACTTAAACGTTAACCCAATGATAGGCTTGTGATCGAAAAAAAACCCGAATTGTATACTGTACGGTGACCATTAAAACTCGAAAATTATTAATTATCGAAAAGTAATAACACCTCGTATATCTCTCGGTGGGTTTGAATAATGACCTCGCTACTATACTCGTCTAACAGGTAAATGTCATGATATTTATGAAACGAGTCTAAGATGTTTAGCTCACCTGGTCCGAAGGACCATGATAAGCTTATGCCTAACCGCAGCGTCCGTCGTCCGTCCGTCAACTTNCCCCCCCACCCCCGAGGCAGAGGGGCGGGGCCCGATAGGGGAAATAGAAGTAAAACCTGTATAATCGTTCTTCTACCACAGGGATTTAGGGATTTTATCCTATTTTAATGAGGCTAATATGTCATATTACATTGGTTAATACGCAAAACATATGTCATTGGTATGGTCACTGGATAAAACAGTACATCATGTGATAAAGTCATATTCACCTTCCAAAACAATTCAACAACAATCAGTCTGATTGTATGTATGTGTTGCCTTGTATTATACAGGGAAGATGTTAACAGTCGAAAAAGTGTTTTTGAGCGAGAAGTCTGTTTAATATCGTGTGTGAGTGATTGCATATCTAAGTTTCAGTTACCCTTTGAATAATCGAACATTTTTATGCCATGTTAACTTTGTCATTCTTATGCAGGTGAACTACCTTGGAACCGTTCTGTTTGTACCTACAATCACAATCCAAGCTAGTAAGTAGTCAACCACTCGGGGAGGGGCAACAAAGGAGCAAATAGTGCACAAATCTAAAATGAAATTTCTTCTTAAGCTAAACATTTGATCTAAAGGTGACGAGGATCAATACTTCATGGAGCTAACCTCAGGGAGTTCGGTTTATTGGGGTAAGCGGCCTTACTGCAACAGATACATGTAAGTCATTTGTTATCGCTATTTTTCAGAAAGTACTGAAGAGATCTTTCTGGTATTTGATATATAGATTACCCTATTCTCTCTAGTACGATGCAGTGCAATGGATTGTTTGCATGTTTTATCTATTACAAAATATTACAAAATCTTGTGCAATCACAAGTATGTGTGTGATACGTTTATCTGATCGAATGATAAATCCATTAACCGAACCTGAACGATGTCTTTTATTCATCTTTCAGTTACCGATATTCCAGTATGGATTTCTGTAGTGGTGCTGATGGCAGTAGTTGTCATTTACACGCTGCTTGTAAGTGTTAAAGTTAACATATCTGTATCTTCATATCAAATATCACTGTTTACCATTTTAGCTCACATCTCCCGGAGGTCATGATATTATGTTGGTTAGTACCCTGATGTAGCCATGCAAACTTGCGAATAAAAACGATCTTGACCAACTATCAAGGTCATAGAATTTGGATATGTATAAAACTTAAAAATCCTTATTCTGCGGAACTGAAAGGCTGGTATTTCCTTGAACAGAGCCCCTAAAAGTTACTTTGACCTATTTTCAAGGTCACAGAAGCCGAGTATTTCTAAAATCTCAACTTCTTACAATGTGATATAAAGACTGATAGATTATTCGTATAGAGCCCAAACAATGTTGCGAATGAAAATTACCTTCTTTCCATACCACAATGATCAAATACGTCTAAAACTTTAAACAACTTCTGAAGAACAAAAAAGCCTAGAATTATGATATATGGCTGGTAGATTTTTATGATAGAGCCTAACAAAGTTTGTGAACAAAAATGAACTTTCGTGGTAACTACTTCTGAAGAAGAACCGAAAACCATAGAATTTCGATGGAGCTGAACCAAAGTTTTTGAATGAAAAATGACTTTTACTTTCTTTTAATGTCACAGGGGTCAAATATGTCAAAAAGTTCAAATCAGTTTCTTGAAGAACCAAATTGTCTAGAGTTATGAATTTTGTGAGGTCACAGGGGTCAATTCAATTGTATGTCTAAAATTTAAAACGACATCTTCCGAAGAACAAAAACCAGATTCACGTTAACACAAAGGGCGAATTCAAGAACATAGCCTGTCTTCGGCACACGTACATACATGTACGCATCACAACACACATGAAGGCACGTCTTTAAATGACCTTAGCTGTTGATAGGATATTAAACCATGTACAACCAACCAGTCAACAGCGTGTTCCTGAGAGTGCAAACATATGTGAACAAACTGTCTGACTTACTCAGTGGCACAGCGGTAAAAAAAAAACGTTTAAAAAAAGTCTTCTTTTGAGGTCACAGGGTTCAAATCATAAATGTAAAACAACTCCTAAAGAATCCTTAACGATAACCGTAACATAAAACGTGCACTGTATCACTACCTTTAACTCTGGTATAATTAACATTAATCGGGGTTGTTCTATTTAACATGACTTCGAATAGTGTGTAACGTGTCCTTGATTGGTAGTTTGCCTTCCGGTTCTAACAGAGGGGCTCATTCTCTTTTTCTCTCTCATTGAGTTGACAGTATACTGTTGCGTAGTGGAAAACTGTGTAGGGTGCCTTTAGTATTGTATATTTCAGTTGCGTAGCCCTTTAAAGTTGGCACCATATCCGCTTTATCGCAATGATGTGCACTCTATGTGTGTAATGTATATGTGTTGGCAGGGGTGGTTTCTTAGATACTTGCATGATTGCAACATAATGTACTTGAACAAAATAAGAATGTCTTTCGTGAAAAGAGGAAAAGTGAACCTTTAAAAGAAATATTTTCTTTCATTGTTTAACCAGGGTGGGTTTCAAGCAGTTGTTTGGTCAGACGTCATTCAAGCAATTTCCATGACAGCTGGTATGGTAACCATTATTATCAAGGTGAGGTTATAAAATCAATTTATTTCTATATAAAGCATCTTTCATATGGGACTGAATCTTCAAAAAATACTGTTTTAATCTGCATTTAGAAAGTTCGTCAAAATAATCTGATGTTTAAAAGTATTATGGAAACTTGAACTAAAAGAATGGTGAAACAAAACACTTCATCTTCTCCAACAAATATAAATGTGTCTTCTAATTTGCGTAGGGAACGATGGACTCAGGAGGCATTGGTTCCACATGGAAAACCATTACGGACAAGGGACGGATGAATCTGTTTATGTAAGAGCACCACATCGCACACTTTTTATGCGCTAGAGTTCTATTTCGATATTTAATTGTTGTATGATGCTTAATGCCATAAACGTTCAGTATTTCGTGGTTATGTCAACAACTGGTTACCCGTTATCAGTTTTATATGATGGATTTGAAAACAATGAATATACTGCATGGAAGCACGTGTTTGAGTGACCTTGGCTGTTACTATAGACGCTAAAACATCGCAATTAAAAGGAATTACCGCTAATCCCTTTCCAAGTACACACAAAATAATCAAATATTTTAGACGGTATGACCTTTGTTNCCCCCCAAAAAAAGAAAAAGAAAAGCCCCAATGAAATATGATGGAGGTAAAACAATACACGGAACACTAATGTACAAAATCGAAATTACTTTCCGTTTAGATTTGATCCGGATCCCACTCTACGTCAGTCCTTTTGGAGTCTGATGTTAGGAGGTATATTTAGCGGATTCGGAATGACCCTAAGTCAAATCAGTTTTCAACGTATCAAAGCTACACCAACGGTAAAATCAGCGCAAAGGTAAGTACACAATATGTTCATTAATTGTCAAATTTCCTGTTAGTAACACTTCTGACTCTGCCTCGATCAATATATACCTATATCGATTAGACTATGTTTTCGCACATTGCCCAAGCCGTTATTTGCCCGCTTGCCTCTACATATAAACTGTATCGATTTCAACAGGACAAATTCAGGGGAAACGGGAAATTCATGATTTTACATTTTTATTTACTTTTATTTCTACAGCTTCCATGGAGCTCCGCTCCAGCGCCCCAACCACAACAAAACCGGGGCTTCACCCCTGGACTCTTGCCCGCACACAGAATGTCTGCCTGTCAATCTGGCGTGTTCTGCGCGTAAACAGACATACATCTGTAACTCCAAACAAATCATACATCCACCCCCGCTTATAATAAAGGGTAAATGTATAATTTTATATCTTATTCGACATTCATTTTTACATATTATGGGGGAGGGGAAGGGAATCCCGATTCTGACAGGGGATTATCGTCCCTGGATTCGTTTTGTTACCTGTTGCGTGAAACTGAAAATCCTTGATCTACCCCTGACTCCCTACCAGTCTCCCAACAAAACATCCCGTCTTTCACGTAGGCTTTCCTTTAGCACCAATGTCTCCTTCTCAGTCCAATCTGCTATCATCTTTCTTACATGTAATTGTTTCTGACACGTTCGACGGTATCATTATCATCAGCAAACAACACTTGGTAACTTACCTTCACCCTACGCTGCGCTTTGACAGTTTGCGGGAAAAATTATAGTTTCCGAGAGTTGATTAACCTCCACCAAAAAGAGTTCCCAATTGGGCTGCTAACACCATCGCAAAATGCCTTACCTAAGGACGTTGCCAAATTACATGAGAAATGTTTATGCAAGACAAATTTGAGGAAACATCAGCTAATGAAATCTCAACTTAAGGAAATATAATACAAACGTAGCCTGGCCTCTGGCGTTGTGTTTCCCGCAACCGTTGTTCACGTCGCTACATTTCGGTGTCATAGTACTTCGAAGGTGCGTTTGAATGGTTTGGACAGTCTTCACAAGAACTGTTTTTTAATATAATAAATTGTTTAAATTTCCAGAATGCAGTTAATAGCGACATGTGGATCCATCATTTTCAATCTGCTAGCAGTGATGCAAGGAGCAGTGATGTTTGCATATTTTGACAGGAAGGGATGTGACCCATTGGTCTCAAAGAAAGTGACAAACCCAAACCAGGTAAACTGCGCTGGAAGGAAAATATAATATATAGATATGATAGATAGATAGGATACTTATGCAGCTCCATCAATAAATCATTTTCTTTTCTCTTCAGTCTTTTCGGTATCAAAATAAAAAGGTAAGAATTTAAACCATTTGATTAAATTATGATAAAAATGGGTATTAGTAGTTGTTTACCCTAATTTGATAAATAATTTGATCAGACCAACTTGTTTATATGTGTTTGTATGTGTTCTAATGTCTATGTCTATTTTTGTACCACTGTTTGTTACTATGTTTGGAGAGGGCTTAAAGGGACATCACGTGAAAAGGCGTTTTTTTTAATGAATGTATGTATTGTATGCACTTCCACTTATGTTACCTCGCTATCCCCATATTCATAGTCCGTTCCAAATGTCCAGTTTGACCACTTGAATTGTTCGGGAAAGCCCGGCTAAAAATAGCGCCGATAACGTCACCTGATTAGGCAGCAAACACAAGTGGTGCGAGCGAGATGAAACGGTTTACAAAGGGGCCCTCAGAGAGGGGCCGTCAGGCAACTGCAACTTCTTACCGCACTATGAAACCAAGTTATATGATTTCTAATTCCGTATTCAAACTTATTGAACAGTAATTATTCATCATCAGAAGGTAATTGCACACTTGCAAATATTAAGAATTTAATTTTATTTAGCTTTTAACATAAATTTGTTGCCAATAAAATTAAACAAAGGATGGGGCACAAGTTTTTACAATTTATCACAGCCTTCTCCCGTGACCGGTACAGGTGGTACGGGGCTAAACACTCCCTCAACAATGGGACAAACCTTTCTGTAAAAAGGAATATTCACGAGACGAATATCCCTTTTCAAATGTTTACATAAAGTGCATATATGCAATGACAAACTACACGCGAATATAAAAAGGAAACGTTTGTGAATTTATTTATTACATTAAACAACTCAATGTCTTTGGCCATTTTTTTTCTAGACCATGAATATAAATCTATGTATACTCTCTTTCCCACTTTCACTGTCTCCAAACGCTAACATTTAGGAAGTCATATTAACCATCACACACAATAAACTGTATGGCAAAACCACTACGTGTACATGTAGAATATGTGTCAATAAGGAACGTGTTGAGATACTTGATAATTATATTTTTTCAATACTTTACAGAGATTAAAGCATACTT